AGACGACATGATTGCTACTGAGCAACTGCCGAAATATCGCCTGTAGTGTGCACAACTCAGGACGTCAGGTCGTACGATATTTTACTTGGCAACTATTTTTTTTTAATCGCGTCAACGTCGCGTTGCCCTAGTGGGACAAGAGCCTTATTTATTTAAATTCTAGTTACAAGACAAATACATGATATAACAAAGACAAATATTAACTAGGCATTACTCTACACTGAGGTGAAACCTCGTGTCGTAGAGTAAGAGTACATTTTTTTTTTTTTCAGTAGCCGTGATAATAATGAAAGATAGTAAGAGACCTTATATAAAACAAATAATAATAATTAATACAATAGTAAAAGAGAAATTTAATGCTAGATATTTAAAGATTAAAAATTAGACAAAATAGTGGGAAATATTAATAAACGCTAATAAACTGAAAAAGTTCGAGCACGGTACGGACATGTTTGATATGTTCGGCCTCGTCGCGTGAGGCGATTACGTCGTCGATATACGCGAACACGAAATCCAGCCCGCGTAATATGTCGTTAATAACGCGCTGAAAAGTTTGGGCGGAGTTGCGAAGTCCGAAACACATAACGGGAAATTCGAACAACCCGAACGGTGTCGTGACCGCGGTTTTGTGAACATCGTCCGGGGCGATCGGAACTTGGTGATATGCACATTGCACATACCAGATCGAGTTTTGTGAAAACGGTCTTGCCGGCGAGATTYGCCGTGAAATCGTGTAGATGCGGCAACGGATATCGGTCGGCGACTGTTACTACGTTGAGCCGGCGGTAGTTCCCACACGGTTGGAACGTACCATCTTTTTTGGGCACCAAAAGTAGTGGACTGGCCCACGAACTTGATGACGGCCTGCAGATGCCTTTCCGTAGCATGAAATCGAACTCTTGACGCGCGATCCGTAGCTGATCGGGCGGGAGTCGGCGTGGTCGAGCGAATAGAGCTGGTCCGGTGGTATGTAGTTCGTTCACCACGTTATGCAAAAACTCTTTCGGGACGGRCGATTCGCGTGTGACTTCGGGGTAGTCAAAAAGTATCTCGGTCCATTTCGACGGTCGGGTGACAGCACAAACTGTGGTACGAGGTGAGTCGGTAGCGGGCGTGATTTTCACTGAACTATTTAACGCGAGGTCAAAGAGGCGGTTTCGGCGTATATCGATGAGTAACCYGTAGTATTGCAGGAAATCGGCTCCGATAATCGGTCGGGAAACGTCAGCCATTTCAAAAGTCCAGGAAAATAATCGTTTGAAACCCAGGTCGAGTTGTAGTTGTTTCGGCCCGTAGGTTTTGATTTGTGTGCCGTTGGCGGCAACGAGTTTGATGTCGGTACTCGTTTTCTTTGTTGTTGCATTAGATAGGTGCGGAAATACCGAAAATTCTGCGCCGGAGTCTATTAGGTATCGTTGTCCGATTCGCAGGTCGTTTACGAATAGTCGATGTTTTTTTTGTGCGGCGAGGTGTCGGTCGAACACCRCCGCCTCACAGATTTTTCTGCGTAGGCGTGTATGTGCACGGGTCGTGGCACTTCCGCGCGTCCACGCCGTAACGTGCGTGGTAGTAACACCACCCGGTGGGCGTGCCAGTGCGCGGTTGCGACGGGGCTATCGCACGCGTCTAGTTTCCGGTGGGCAGGCTTGACGCCAACGCCGTGACTTAAGCGGCGAGTGCGTGCACTGCGGACTCCAGCGCCTGGATACGAGCGTCGCCGGCGTCATGACTTGCGACCGGTACGACTTCGTGGGATACCTCTCTGTCAGGCTCCTGGTTCGGAAAAACGGCGGCGCAAMGCCAACGYGGTGTCACCTCTACGGCGGTGATCTCCGCGCCCTGAGTCGCCTCCATGATACGGTCCGCGCGTTCCGCCAGCACGTCCAAACTTGCTCGCACTCCCGCGATGACGGTGCGAACCGCTGCCGGTAGTTTTGCCCTCCAAAACTCTTCCAGCACAGCGTCAGGCATGTTCCCTGGGTAGGCACATCACGCATATCTCGCAACCGTCTGGATGGCGTGCGATCGCCCATGCCTCCTGTCTGCAGTATCGCTTGGAACCTGGCGGCTTGTGGAACGGYGTAGGTGCTGATGAGTCGCGCGCGGATTTCGTCATACGACGCGCCGGGACCGATCAAGTCCGACACTGTGGTCATGCCGTCGTCGTCCAACGACGATAGCACGTGATTTACGCGCGTAATGTCCGTGCGCAATAGGTCCATTTGGAAAACGGCGTCGGCGTGAATGAACCATTACCGCGGGGCGTGCCTCCAAAACTCGGGCAAACGCACGGCACCAGTGGTGATTGCGTCTACCACACCCTGAGGTGGCGATGGCGCTGTCGGCATGGTTGCAATGATCGACGTGTCCATCAGCACCGACGTGACGACCGTTTTCGTGGGAGCACTTCCAGCCGTGACGCTGGGACTATTGGCGCTGTCATCCATGACGCCGAAAACTGGATGGGAACGGATGAACTACTACGCAAGCACTAACGGACTCAACACGTGTTCGCAGCACGTGTGACGCACTCCGGCACTCGTGACGGACTCTCGCGACGAAACGGTCGAAACGAACACCCGTGTTCGCGTGTTTGCCGAAATGAGGTCACCAAAATAGTAATTTGGTGTCGTGTAATCTAAGTAACGGCCACAGACTACACAAGAATGGAATTATACCACAGATTTTTCTATTTTAAATAATATAATATAATAAATACGTACCTTTAAAAAAAATTATGCGACACAAAAAAAAAACCGTCGTCTAAATTTTTTCGTTTTGATAAGAAAATAGTGGTAAATGCATAGACTTACTTATAGACGGAACATGTAGTAGTTACTCATGTTGACGATATGCTGCGTCCCACGAAGCACCGAAGCACATCGCACTTGCGCACTAGCAACGACGCACGATATTAATCCATATCAATTTATTGTACAAATATTCATYGACCTTATACGGTCTATGCAAWAATATTGTAMGATTGCTGTTATCATTCCACCTGTGGAGTGTGGGCTGTTGTTTTATTTTTTGAACTTTTTGTCGTTTGACRTWTGATTTAATAACAACATGGGTCGAAAATGTATTGTTTGCAACAAACCAGAAATTGCAAATTCTGGTGTTTCATTTCACTCGTAAGTTGATATTTTAGAACTATTATTATGTCATTTTAACCAACAATATGCCAAAAATTGTCTTTTTAGATTTCCTAAAGAACAAGGACTACAAAGGTCATTGGTCGCACAATATAATTATTTTATTAACTTTTTAATGTACAAACATAATATAATATATCCTAGGCCCACAATGATATTTAATAACCTTTTTGTGTTTAAGTCTTGATTACATGAATAAATTCTTAACTTTTTAGTACAACATTTTGTTTTTACATTTCTATATCATTCCAGTGTTCGATACTCAGTAGGCACTAGCCTGAGATGTAGGCAGTTCATAGAATAATACTATAATAGTATATAGGTAGTAGAGTTTTAATTTTAAGGCAGTCACAGTCCGCCGTAGTGGTTTTTCGCGCGCCAATATGATCACAATAGTTATTGTGTGGACATTAAAAATAATAATTTTGTTTCGAAGAATGGGCAACACTGCATCTCAACTGCTCATGACCGTACCAGTACACTGGGTAGGATAAGGTTGTTCCGTCTATAAGTATAAGGTCTATGGGGAAATGTTAATAAACATGATACATATACCTAGGTTATATAGATAATCATAAGAAATAAAGTAGGCATACAGATTAGGTGTCTACTCAAGTTTAAAGGCTCGGGCACACAGAACGCGGTCTGTCGCGGCGGTCAGCGATAATTTCCCGCGGCGGTAAGACGGTAAAGTTGTATTACGTAATATCACATTATCCCCGTCACACAGGAGGCGGTCTATCGCGGCGGGACAATTCAGATCGCGACGACAGGCGATACCGTTGTACAAAATTACAAAATTCCGCGCGGGCAGCTGTCGATCTGTTGTTATATTCTGTTATTTTAAGTTGTTATATTATGGCTGAAGAAACTGAAATGCTTATCGAGCAAGTAAGAAAGTATGTGTACTTATTTGACACATCTCATGAGAGTTATAAAAATGTAGTAAAAAAAGCCGAGGCATGGAACAAAATATCCGAAGAATTGGGTATTACCGGTAAGTATATAATTTATAGTAGAAACTAGAAATAGTAATATAATATTATAATAAAATCAAATAGATTTAATTTTAATAGAATAGACATTAGACTTCTATATTTATACCTAATTATTTATTTAATTATTTATACCTAGTCTTTAGGTATCAAGTATTTAAGTATCTAATTTATAGTAATTATTCTCTATATATTTTATCACAAATAAATCATCTATGTTCTGTGCTGTACTAGTATGTTTTAATAATAGAGTATTATACATTATATACTAAGTTTAATTTGTAGGCACCTACTAGTCCTGCTATTTTATTAAATATATTATTTTGCTGTGAGTTGAGAGTGTTGTGACAAACAATATATTTTGGCATTCAATAATTTTATTTAATTTTAATTTTAATGTTACTATGCGCTATTAATAAAATCAGTATATACGAGTATCAGATTTTCCAATCTTAAAATAGTATAAATAATAAATAATATACTATCTAAAAATGAATTCGAGTAGTGTATTAATAAGTTTATCGATAATAATAATACTGAGTTATAATCTACAGTAGACATGGAAACAAATATGGAATACCATACATATATTGAATATTAATAATATTATATTATTTCTGATAATAATAATACAAAAACAAAATACACACTATATTCTATTTATTTTAATTTTAAATAGACTTCAAAGACAACAGTATTTTTTCTGTCAATATATTAACAGAATATAACAAAAGTAATAATAATATAAAATTACACAATATGCAAATAGCTTTATTGAGTATACCATATTATAATATTTTAGTATCTTAATAATATTTTTTTAATTTTKAAATATGTATGGTTTAGTAAATTATCTATTGAAGTAAGCAGTAAAAAGTTCRAGGATTTCTAAAGCAGCATTATTCGACCTCCGATTGGTCAATGCTGTGTCTAATAATGCTCGTATAGGTTTAGCTTGCTCTTCACTTTCAATGGCTGGATATTCTCCGTTATTTTTCATCATGACGAAATTGTGCAAACAACATGCTGCTTTGACAATACATTCCGCAGTTTCAACGTCTGTTTCTATAGCTCTTAAGAATACTCGCCATTTCATGGCCAATATGCCAAACGCGTTTTCAACTACACGACGTGCTCTGCTTAGTCGTGCATTGAACTTTTTTTTTCTCACATCATGAATCATCCCAGCTTTGGGGTAAGGTCTCATCATATAAGTTTGAAGTGCAAATCCTTCGTCACCTACGAATACATGAGGAACGGGGACGTCAGTGCCTGGTAGTGGCTTCGGAGGTAAAATAATTTTATCATTCACGTATTCCCGGTAAAAAGCGGAATTTTCAAAAATGCCACTGTCGCTATGTCGCCCATAACTGCCAATGTCAACAACCATAAATTTGTAATATGGGTCAACTACAGCAAGTAGAACTATCGAGAAAAAATTTTTATAACAAAAATAACTTGTACCGCTATTTTGTGGACATTTTAGTTTAATATGTTTGCCGTCTATGCTTCCAAGACAATTAGGAAACCCCCAAAGTTCTGAAAATCCTCCTACTGAATCTATCCATGTCTGTGTTGTAGGTTTAGGTAAATAAGTAGGTTGTAGAACATTCCAAATTTCATGACAAACATCTTTCACAATTTTGGAAACAGTTGATCGACCCACTCGAAAAGAGAATGCAATAGTCTGATGACTATCACCTGTGGCCAAATATCTGAAAATTGTTAAATGATAAATATAAATGAATATTTGAATTCCACGATAGGTATCATTGCTTGCAAAAAACGATTCTGTACGGAGACATTAATGTTCAGTAGGATAATTTATATTATTGCATTTATTAGTGATTTATAGGACAGAGGACTTGTAGCATTTGCATATTTATTTTGCACAGTCACAAAAACAGCAGAGTGCGAAACAAATGCGTTTCATGCTTCCTCWAAGCTATAGTTTTGAAATTTTATTGTGCATATTAATGAATATTTTGCGTATTTTATGGCAAATTTCTTCCATTTTATACTTTTAGATGCATATTTTAAATAATTTATAGTTTAACGATTTTACCAATATTTTTTCGTCGATGTTTTTATTTATTTATTCACATAACCAAAATAACGTTGATATTATCRACGATATTTCCGATCAGATGCCKCAATTTATCGGGTAATTAATTTTATTTATAGACAGATAAGATAATATTTTTCAACTCACAAAATTAATTATTCAAATAATTAATTTTAAGTAGTTAAATAAAGTTGAAAATTAAATTTATTCATCAAAATATTGAGTACCAACAGAAAAATTCTTATATTTTATTTAAAAATATTCACTTTAAAATGCATATTTTTTATATTCAAGTGCATATKTTTAATGGATATTTTGTATATTTAAATGCATATTTTGTGACATTTTAGAGCTACAAGTCCTCTGCGCTAGTGATTTATAATGGTAAACATTTAAACCTTCAAATGTTTCTAAAACATATTTACGGRATATTGTTCGACTATTATAATGTTATTATTTATATTAATCTTAATTTATGTAGAACCTTATTTATTTTATAGTCGACTCCGCAAAAAATAAATGGAAGAATTTAAGAGATTCTTATTTGAGRTACAAGAAATGCGTWCAAGGAGAAACAGGACAAGCTAAAAAGTATCATAAATGGCCATGGAATAGTCATTTAGAATTTTTGGATGACAGTATAAAATACCGTCCACAGAGTAGCAATATAACAGAAAGTGAAAACATCATATCACCCCCAAAAGAAAAAACTCCACCAATAATTCAACATTTACAAAAGAGCAATTTATCCAGCGACGAATCTCCATCTTCTTCACGAATGCAACCACAGAAAAAACTTAAGATCCGCCCTGCAATTTCTGCGAAGGAATCATCTGAAGTGGGTAGAGTGATTGAATATTTGGAAAACAAAAAAAAAACCAAAAGTTCATGATGGCATAGATCATTTATTTTTGAGTTATGCGGATACTTTCAAAAAGTTTCACCCAAGAACTCAAGCTGAATTGAAAATAAAGATTGCTACATTATTTGCACAAACTGAAATGAAAGAAATGCAGTATTATGAACAAAATATTTCACCTATGTATTCCGACAACTCTACTACCAATTCTCAACATTTTGTTGGACCACAAAGCTCTTCCAACTCGGTACACACTTATAATGTACCAAACAGTGAGACATCATACAAATCGAGTGACACTTCATTAACTTCGGCGCGGGATTTTTATGAAAGTGCTAGCAATTATTCAATAGCTGCTTTATTAGGATTACCACCTACTTCAAACTAAATGAATATATTTTTTTCTTTGATAAATAAGCCATAAGGTATAAGGACATACCAAACATATTTTTTCATTTAAAAAAATATGTTATAAATTTTGTTTAAAAGGTTTATCTAATATTATTTTTTTTATTTTTATAAATAATTAAAAACTGAATTGTTTTGTTTGAATAAATTAAGTTGTAAAAGTAAAAGTATTGTATTAAATTAATTTATTTTATTTTTAAATCCATAAATAATATAATATAATGATTTATTAATTATTACATTATATTATTATATATTAACTTACCTCAAACAAATTGCTAATTTCTCCTTTGTCTCAATTGGTTTTCTCCAGTTTGTGGGACATTTCTCAATATTTGGTTTTATTAAATTATGCAGTTCTTCAAAACACTCACGTGACATACGAAAATATTTGAAAAAACGATCTTCATGTGACAGCAGTTCAATACACAGTCGATGGTATTCACCCAACTGTTCCCTGGTTGTATTAATTTCATGTACCCATTTTCGTTTTTTCCTTCTATTTTTAAGGGCAAGTAATAAAAGAAGTTGTTCCTCGTCAGAACTTGACATAATTGTAAAGTGGTGATTATTAAAAAATGAAATCAAGTGGATAGATATAAGTAACTGTGTACTATATTACTAGATTATGACTGTTGTAGCCTTGTAGGCTTCTAACCGACCGCTTACAAATTATCGCTGCCTGTGTGCCGTCATCAGATCGCTGACCGCCGTGGCGACCGCGTGATCGCTGACCGCCGCGACAGACCGCGTTCTGTGTGCCCGAGCCTTAAGTAGGTAATTATAACCTTTACTGTATTAGAAACCTAACTAATCTTATACATTTTAAAATATAMCTTTCTACATACCTACTTTATTTAAATTGTTTTTATGGTAATTAGTTGTCTATATCTTAATATAACAAAATGTAAAAGGTAATCTTATTTAAAGTATATACTTGCATTATAAATATGTATTAGAGTTCTTAGAATATAGGTCACTTAGGTCAGGTATAGTTAGGTTCTACATATAGGCACATGCACATGGTCTCCTGGCACTGCCATGGAATATACAATTAATTTATTAATATATAATATTAATATAAAAACACCATGTATGTGCTAAGTTTAATAATATTTATTTTGATTACAGAGGAAATGATTTTTTTTTTTCGGCAAATAAATGATGTAATTAAGGAAATATTTCCAAAAGAAGAAAAAGTATGTAGATATTAATTATTACATAAACCTACCTACAATGGCATAAATAAGTCTTATTTTCTGGTAGTGCATAAAGATAAGTTTGCTAAATGTWCACAGACCAATTTTATGCCACTGCCAAACTACCTATARAACAAATAAGTTTTATAAATTAATAGTATTTTAATTATAATAATTTTTCTATTATTTTAATTATTTTTATGTTCTTTGTTTTGAGTGTGTACTTTATTACTGCTATGGGGAAGAGGGATCCCATCAATCGCATGCTAATGGAAAACTTGTGGAGAGGTGGAAAAATGTTGCCAGAAAACTACGAAATGTAGGTGCAATTGGCTATGATCGCATAAAACACAGTAGTAATTTGAATTATACAACACTTACGGAGCTCTCTGGTAAGTACATAAAAATAGAATAATACCTATTATTAAAACTTAAAATTTAATATAGGTAATTTACATTATTTATTAATTTTAAAGAGGATATTAAGTTTGCTAAGAATTGGCTTGCAAATGAAGGTTTATCATCCCTACTTGATGAAACTTTTATGGGCAAGTGGAGGTTGACGTATGATATACGTAAATGTAATATATTTGGATCTTGCRCTCGTCATCTTGAAACAGTTTTTAAGTTATGGTCAGCTCTTCAAGGACCTAGAGAATATCTGTTGGTAAGAAAATAATTTAAAACATAAAATTATATTTAATTTGTTTTAGATTAGTCTATTGCATAAAATATTTTAGACCAATGCACAGTGGTCTAGATAATGACATTGTAAATGCAAATAAATAAATACATTTACTAAATGTAAACATGGGGGGAAAATTTGATTAGTGTTATGTACAATTTTTTTTATTTTGTAAATGTTTTAGGTACATTTTAATATGGTTAAGTGTAAGATGTACTCTCAGTAAATTTTACATATGCCCTCTATTTTTGAGCCCTTGACATTGAAAAATTTTTTGATAAACCATTTAATAACAGTTGCTTGAATATTTGATAAATAATTTTATATTTTCATTTATTTTATAGAACAGAGAAATAATTTTCTAGATTCTCAATATTTTATTCATATAGGTAGTTTTTAATACCTAATAATAATTAAGAATATTTTACAGTTAATAAGTATTGAAATTTTATTTAGTAAGATTTTTATACATTTTTCAAACATTTTAGGTTGCTGAAGATTTTAATATTGGATATCCTCAAAAAGATATCAACTGGGACACATTTCTTCGTAACTGGACAGAATTTACTAACTTTTTGTTGAATTTAAGAGGAAGCTCAGTAAAAAATAAACTTGCTTGTGATCTTATACKAAAGCTTGATGCTGCTCAAGTAAATCGTGGTAATATATTTATTTTGTGGATAAAATGTCATTATTTTAATTTAGAAAATGTTTGTAATACATTACTATACCTAGTAATAGTAATAATAATAATAATTAAATAATTGATCTACTACCTATTATAATTGCTTTATGTATACCTAGTTTTAGATTTCAGATCCTGTAATGTATCAAAACTACTCTTGCTTCCATATTTCGTAGTAACTAAAAAACGCAGATTAAACATGTAGACGCCAGTAATAAACAATCAAAGTTTTGGAAACCTTCACTACAAGAATCATAAGCTGCATTAGTTTGTCATGTTACAGTTAGTATTTACTTTTAACATCAAAATTATTTCTAATTCAATTATAACTTACTATAATTTAAAAAAAATTAAAATTAATTTGTTTAGAATCTTTCTGGTGTTGAAGAAGAAATTATCACCAGACGTTTAAAGTATGCTCAGTTTGGACAAACAATACAGCTATATATAATTTTTGTGGGAAGTGACATCGACTCTATTGAAACCTGTTACGTTAGAGTTAATGAGCAATTGTGGTCATTTCGGTGTCCACTGAAAGCTTTAGATATTACTTTTAAGTTGTATTTTGCTCTACATTGTGAGTATCCAAAACAATGTTCTGAAAGTTGGTTAATTTTATAATTGCTGGTTTACAAATTAGTAACACCTTATGATACGACTTCATCTGTCATAACAGCAATTACAGCTAAATTTTCTAATTTCTAATTATTTAAKTTGACTAAAAATGTTTAATTGTTTTTTATGTCAAAAAGAAAGTACTTCTATTAAACAGTATATATGGCATTTTAAAGTGTTTCATTATTTAGGTCCTCAATCTTTATATACATGTACTCAACAACATTGTTTTAGAAATTTTTAGATTTGGACAAATTTAGAAAACATTTAACCAAATATTTCATAACTG